CGCATGTGTGTGAAAAATGAAAGAAAAATGGAGAGTTTTTTTCAATAATAAAAAGGGAGTTGCACTGCAGGGCCCCTAAAGCTTGTGAAAAATTAAACTCGACGGATTCAAACTGTCCTATTTCCACTTCAAAAGAGAAGAGGCACTGAGCTCTTCCCAACTTATCTTCAAACGCCCAGCACCCTAGAAAGTTTCTTAAAAAAAAAATAAAGTCTCTAGTTCCCCCAAGCACTGTACCCGTTACTGTAGCTGCTGTCTCTCCCTCTTCTAATTATACCCATGTGAGTCTATTAATCAACTTGTAAATTATTTAGAGAGCCATGCGCTGTCTTCAGCTAGTACAAACACACTGCATGCAAAGACTTGCTGAAAACCAATGGAGCTCCCAAAGGGTCTCTCTCCGATGTTCAGACAGCTTGCAGCTCGCCAGTACAGAGCTGCTAAAAACAAGAAATAACACGGAGCTTACCTCCTCAGATAGAAGGATTTACTCAGCCTTTCAACTCCCAAACTCTTTGCAAGTTTTTAAACAAAGAGGAAGCTGCTCTATTGTCAAACCTGTGCTTTGCACTTAGCGACGAGGATATTAATTTGATGTCAATAAAACAAACAAACAAACAACCCCACAAGTGCTTTCAGGGAGGCTGTGATCACTGTCACCAGGGGACCCCGACTTTCAGAGGTGGCACCAAAAACCACCCCTTTACATCCATCCCAGTTGAAAATCAGGGCAGAAATCATCGTTTGTGCCGTAATGGTTGTTATTAGAAAAGAGGAGAAATTAGGGAATTCCGGATTGTGCCCCCCACACAAAGACTGCCATTGGGGACAGCTTCGTATGTTACTGCTTGAAAAAGGAAGAGGGAAAAAACCAACACGGACTGCGTGCGTTCGATCCTAACAGGCTGCACACAGCGCCGTGTTATTTGTCTTCCGTGAATCTCTTTACCACCTGAATGCTCATTTTGGTGGGGAAAAAAAACCAACGTTACCCAAACTAATAGCGGTTCTCCCAGCTGAAAAGCAAAATCTTTCTGCTTCAGGGTTGTTGGTTTTTTTTCTGCCCTTCGTGCTGTTTTCCTGTCGTTTCATTTTTCCTGCATCCATTTATTGCAGCCTCACAAACGCATTAACTAGCAGTGATCACTCCGTGCTGTTTCACCACAAAGACATATCAGGCTGAACAAATTTCTTTTCAACTGACTGATGGCTTTTCTTTTTCTTGTCCAAATTCTTCTGCTTTTTTCAGCAGAATAGCCCTCAGAATTACAGCAATCTGAATCAACAAATCCTGCATAAAGGCCTTCAAGGACTTCATCAAGCCAGAGGAGTCTGTGAATGTGGACTGTCTATACATGTGCCTTGTTCACATTTGCTCTCAAATACTGGAAGGGAAGGAGCAGCCCAAGGAACAGACTTTTCACAACGTTCCAGTAGCAGCCAAATGGAAAGAATCCTTTTGAAGGAGCCGTCCTGCTGCCTGGGGAAGGGTCATTGCCTGGGAAAGCTCCTTAGAGCATCTCATCCCTCACACGTTAGTCTTCCCATCCCAACCAAACAAACAGTAATTGCTGAATCCAGCTTTACCGACCGAGATTTAAGCTAACAGGAGATAGGGACCAGGAAACTGGTATCAGATTCCAGGTTGGTCTTTTTCTGCCTAGAGTATATTTAGCAATAATTGCACAGCATTCAAAGAAAACCACATTGTACTAAAGGAATAATCAGCACATTCCAGATGTGTTGTCCAAAGAATAAATCTGTGTTTGTGATATAAAGAAGGCTGTCTGGTTGTTGAACTTTTAACTGAGAACACACATTAAAATATCTAGTGCAAGAAAAAAAAAGTGTTCTGGGAATTAATAAAAGGAGTGGGTTCAAAATGCTCATGCTACCTTCATTAAGCAAAATAAATTACCCCACAAAAAACCTGATGAGTTTGATGAAACAAGAGCTAAGGTCTTTATGAGAAAACAAGCACTAGAAAACACTGAAAATGGGAATGCACTGAGTTGCCTTCTGGGATGAATAACAGAATTGTTTGAGCTGATCTTGAAATGCATGTAGTATACATGAAGCAGCAGTACAGGAAAGAAACAATAACAAGGAATGTTTGTGAATCCTGAAAACAAGGAGAGATCTGAGTTAGTCATCCAGAACTAGAACAGAACAGGCAGCGGACAGCCTCAGTAACTCCATAATGAGTTAGATTTGAATAAGCTATTTTTTTGAGCCTTTTTATGACACCATGACATATTCCATTGGCGTGTCTTGACTGACTAATTGTATGCAATGGTCCAAAAGAAGGGAAATCACACTGAGATCTGTCCCCAAGGCAAGTGTTTTAAGAATATATGAGGCATGCCTCAGGATTTTATGGCTCTGGTTTGATTTTGACTAGCAATGATTTGAGTGTCACATTTCTCTTGGTCTTTGTTTCCAGGTTATTCTGTGATGCAGTCACTGCCATGATTCCACATCCAAATGAAGCACTAAGCTTACCTGTAACTAGAAATGTACTGAACATTTTCGAGTTTCAATTGTTTTCACATTTATAACACTGTGAAAGTCCGTATGTGTCCTCATTTACTGTTATTTGCTAAACTAATTCTATAAAAATGCCATTTTCTTGGAACAGAACACAGTCAATAATAGCACAAGCATCTTTCCCTCGTATTAACCTGGTTGTGACTCTGTAGCCCTTCTTTCCTCCTCAGTATCCTATGCTCTTTCATTTTCTCCTAGGCTCTTGTGAGGGCATTAATGAATTCTTGTTAGTGTTTACGAATGTAAATTCATTCTCTGTTATCCCTAGGAGAGGAGGATTAGCAAAGTGACAGAACTTATTATTTCTGGTATTGCTATATAATATTTATTTTTATTCATCCATTAATTTTGTAGTGCGTCCAACTAAATAAAATATATGTGCACACAGAGCAAAAGAGATGAAGTTTTTTTAGCACGATACACTGAAATATAGTTATGATTCCCATTAACATTCAAAAGCACCATATAGTTTTATCCTTGCATATTATATTAGAAAATTTGTCTAAATCTGAAATAATTTCTAATTTGGAGGAAGAAATGGATTATCACTTCAACTGCGTGCTCCTGAAATAAAAGGAGCTCCCTTGGACTAAGGATGTGCGTATTTTTAAGGCTAAACACTACATGTGCAATTATTCTACTCTCCTGGGAATGCTTTTGATATCCCCTTTAAGGATCTTCAATGGTTAGATGAAGTTTATAAAATACACGCAGCAAATAAAGCTCTTCTAGGGCTTATCTTTGAATAGACAGATCATCCAAACTCCAGTCTCAAACATAACTGGAATCTAGAGAGGAAGGTGTTTGCAGTGGCAGTGCTCTCCCCCCATAGAATCATGATAGAAATCACAGATTGGTTTGGGTTGGAAGGGATCTTAAAGCCCACCCAGACCCAAACCCCTGCCACAAGCAGGGCTGCCACCCATGGATCAGGTTGTCCAGGGCCCCATCCAACCTGGCCTTGAACACTCCTAGAGAGTTCATAGGGATGAGAAAAAAAGTGAAACAAGGGTATTTAGGTAAGATCCTGAAATTAAAGGATACCAAGCAGGCACGGGTCCAGAGTCAATCAGGCTACACCCATACAGAAGCTGCTTCCATACTTTAAGACCTTGGATACATTGCAAATGACAAAGGCTCAGAACACTTGCCTGTGGGTTAAACACCGGTTAGCTGGATCTCTAGATCAGAATGTTCTCTCCAAGCAAGGGCAGCCACGAGCCATTAATCCACGAGCAAGTCTAGAGTTAAAATACATTACCTTGTGGTTTGATGGAGAGATAGAATACCCAAAGCTGCAGGCTGCCAAAGGTCTTTTTGAAATGCTTAGGAAAGTACTGAATCTGTTCATATGGTATTGAGGGAACATCAGTTAATTTTATAGGCTCACCTTTCAGATCTATGTAATTCAGTCACAAAATTAAACTATTGTGGGGGGGGAAAAAAAAAAAAGAGACAGCCTTTTAAGCTTTCCATCTCACCAAATGGCTCAGCTGGCCAAAAAGAAAAAAAAAAAAACAATGCAGACTTTTTTTGTTCAAAGTTCTGTCAATACGAAAACTGAACTGAGGTTGCTCAATTTTCAGCAAGATCTTCCCCCTGCATTTGTCTCATTGGTAACCAGGTGGCCTGTTGCTAGAAATAGGACTAAAAATTCCTCTTCCAGGCCAATCTAATTTGGCAAAATAAACATGCTTGAACCGTGCTGAAATGCAATTTATATTTTAGAACTATAGATCTTTTTTTGATTTTTAATATCCACCACAGAGAACTATCTTTGTGCAAGAAAGCTAACAAACATGCAAGTTTAAACTGCTGCCCTAAGGAGCTTACAGTATTTATGATTTATCTGAAATCACTTGCAGAACCATCATCCAAAAGCAATATACACTTAAATATTCTTTGTGGTATGCCCCTCCTACCACCATAGAGGCTAATAAGAAATGAAGGACACGGAAACTTTATTTTTGAGTTAAAAATGCTTGTGTAAATCCAGATGAACCTACAGTAGCATTTTATAAGTCGATACCCACCTACATAAAAGCAGGCACATCCTTATTATCATCTACTTGAAACTGAAATCAAAGTGAAACAGGATACTGTGCTTTAGGAGGCACTTTAAATATTGTTAAATTGCACATCTGTATCGGAATTTTGATTTGGATTTAGAGATAAAAAATATGGAATCAAATTATGGAATGTGTACCAAAAATACTGAATTTCACTGGAACAGTGGACTATTTTGAGCTATTTGAACATATTGAGGAGCCTAAAAATCTAACTTCTGTTGTTTATTTTAACTGTGTAGTACTGTAAGTCACATCTAATGAATGGAATTAAGCAGCCTCCAGATCAATGTAATGCATACTCCAATCAAGAAAAAAAATCATTCATCACTGATCTTTTCCTATTAATTTGTAACTACAGTGTAATGAGACAACAAGGTGCCCTACCTGGGTATCCATTGTCAATATAAGGCTTAACGAGTTCTCCAAGTTCTGTCTTGTCTGCAACAGCTTCCTTTAGCAGTTGCCCACAGCAAACTAAGAGGAAGGAAGAACAAAAAGACACAAGGTTAAATTTTAAAAAGGAAGCAACAAAGAAAAAAAAAAAAAGAAAAAAAAAGCACAACACAGAAGCTGCATACTGGAATAAGGTCACTGAATAAAATAAAAGTTGTAGGTTCTTCGGGTTTGTTGTTTAGGATTATTTTCTTTTTGGCCAAGCAGAGGAAAAAGCAAAAAGACTGAGCAGGGGAGAATACCGAATAAAAAAGAATACATTTGGCAAAGATCATATTAAAAACAGAGGGAAAGATACTAATCAAATATGTTACTGAAATAGTAACTCAAGGGATTGCTAGTGTTTTTCACTTCTTATAAAGTTATAATTAGGGGAAAAAAGTTTCGCCTGCTGAACAGCAGCTGAACCGCACTGCTGGGGGCGCAGGATCATACGCAGCTCGAGGCAGTGACTCCCTGGGTCATTTAATGATCATACAAGAATTATATTGTAAAAACTGTGCTAATGCAATCTTGTCATTGACTTCAAATACACAGAATACCAGGAGACACAGATTTAAAGTTCCATTCAGGCCAGCAGTGCACGAAATGTCACCATTTTGGACTGTACAGCACTTTTGGACTTGAGTTATTGAGTTATTGTGTCTGGCTGCCCCATATGAGCTCATGTTCCCTCATTTTACAGAGAGGGAACCAAGGTATGGAGAAGTTAAGTGATATCACAGCATGTCCTAATTCCACTTCATTTTTGGTAACTACTGAATAGCAGCATGCATTACTGCACAACCTTTCAACCAACAGCTGTAAATCAGTTCTGCCCTGAAATCAGTGGCACCAACACCAGCAGTACCATTGACTTGATGAAAAAATGATGGCCTTCTGGCTTTGTCTTAAACAGGCAATTCTTAGCAATATTTGGTTTAAAGTATACTTACAATAAAACGTAATGGGTGGGTAAAGCAGTGGCAGTGGTATTTAGTAAAGAGAACTGCAACTCTTTTACATAGCAGTTATTTTTAAAAATGCAAATTTTGACCTAGATGAAAACACTGTGCCAAACTTGCAGAAAAAAAAAAGAAAGAAAGAAAAGCAAAACCCCACTACCTCCCTAATTCTGGTTTGTTTCTTTGCTGTTTGGTGTATGCTGAAGGAAGACTAGTGAAACGAATCAGCATTTTACTTCACCAAGAGGATATTGCCAGCTGGTAAATTTTACAGAAATCAGACATTTGTTTAAAATAATTGATGGCTACTCCAGCATTAGAAAATGTTACGGAATGTGGACACACATTACACTGATCCCATCACATAGCTGAGTATTTGTACCGTAGCACTTTTTAACACCAGCATATTAAGCAGGAACCAGGAAGCCTCAAACTGAATTTTCTGACAGAAAAGAAAGAAAACGTACAATTTCAGAGCAAATTCTACCTTAAAAGTGCCCCAAATTTAGTCAGACAGCTGCAGCTACAATGCTATCACTCACAATCCCCCGATCCACTGAAGAATTCACGGCACTACAAGAATGCAACATGTGAAAAAGCACTGATGTAAAGGATATAAAAAATGATGACTAAAAAAACATTAGAGCTGGTTTGTCACAGAATGTTTGTTCTGCTGGTATATACTTCTACACTGAAATATTTTTCACTTCCCTCAAAAATCTGACATCCATAGCAATGGGCAGAGAAATTCTGGGTGCGAGTAAGAAAGACAGACAGCAGAAGATAAATGATCAAAAAGACAGAAAGGAGGAATTGAGCAAAGTGCATATTTACTGAGAACTTACTGTTGACAACGCCGTATTTCTGAGCTATTAGTGCTGCCTGCAGGCTCTTCCCACTGCCTGGGGGGCCACAAAAGAGAATACGTGGAGTAAAAGGGGCAGCTGATCGGGGCTGGGTTTGGACGTAGGTAAGAGCTAGAAAAGGACAGAAAGGCAAGAAATGTTACTCATGCCTTATTTCTTCCGTTTTTTTAACTTATAGTATAAACATTAACTTCTACTTTTTTTCCCTTGAAGGCTGTAATCATCATCATCGTTTATTTTACCACAGAAACATCTAGAGATTGCAGCCCAAATCAAGACTCATAAAACTCTTGTGTCAGCAACTTCCACTGAGAAGCACTTTAGAAATCTTACCATCATTAGGCTCCTGTACCTCCTTTCATCAGCAGACATCAAATCATTTTAAAGAGCAGATTCAATTAATAATTGCTCTTTCACCATGTTGTTTTTAGCAGAAGTCTTTTTTTTTTTGCTTCATAGGTACAATTTTACCATGCAAATTATAGAGGGAGATAATTACACTTAATACTTTCTGCAGTTTCTGAACAAATATTTAACTGTAAAAACTCAGGATGTTAAATTAATATGACATTTACAGAGCATCGTTTGTGATTAACACACTCCTAATTACATTATCACAGACTTGTAATGTATCATGTCACAATATGGCATTGACAACATATAATTGAGCACAAGTTTCTTTCTTTGTCCATCATTCTTGCATAACGTGGAAAGGCTATTTGAACTCTTCTGTCTGATTCAGTTCTGTGTTGGATGGTATTCCTTCTTCAGCATTTTCTACTGCATATTAGAAATTACAGTCGTATCAGTGTACAGATTACAAGAGCTTGGAAGGCCCACAGGATGCATGGAGTATAATTGTAGCTGCATTAAAGAGACCTGAACTCTGCCACAGTCTCTGAGTAGAACCTGGTAGACACCAAGATGCTATAGCACAAGGTGGCTTGACAGTGAGGACAAACTAGGATTGTATTCGTACACAGCTGAGCAGTCTTACTCTCCATACCCCTATTCTGGCCAAAAATAACACTAAGGAGAGCAGCTAAAGCTGCAGTATAAGCTACCTGAGCTTTCCAGCATCACAGATCCACATAGAAAGGTTCAACTTCATGCTTACTGCATCTTGACTGCCATTGCTACCCATGTTTAGAAGCTGCATAAGCACACCTGCACTTCTTCAATTTACTCTGCACGTGCAGCATATGCAGCCAAGTGTCAGCCCAGGCATCTCCAATCCCAATAGGTCTATGCTCTAAAGAGTCCTTGCAATAAAATAGAATCTTATTAGGGCAGGCATTGGGATTTGTATGAATCATAGTTCTGTATTAAAATAATGCAAAAGGATTGATGAAGAACATCATCAGGATAAGTATTTGAATTACTGCTGTTAACATGCTGCTGCATACTAACAATTTTTCTAAGGACCCTCCTCTGGACATGGAGGTATCATTATGGACTAATTAATAAAGCAGCAGCTCAAGAAAGCTCCCACTCTGCTGTTCTAGAGAATCCAGAGAACTGAGAAACTACCTCAAAGTGCAACCACATGGGAACACACACATCTCTTTTTCCAGCACTGCAAGCCGTGCTGCAACACCACGACATGAACTGGATGTGGTGTCCCATATCCCAGCAGTAATTCCACTAAAATTCAGGAATCTGCAAAACCTCATCGTTGTATGAAACAATCCATTAAACTCCCAATGCTGTTGAGATCTCTGTACTGTTTAATCTCTGTCTGTAGTAATACAAATACTTTAAGAAAAGCCACCACAGAATCAAAACCAAACAGGAAAATGGCAGCAGCAAAGTCTGTTTGCTGCAGAGCCCAATATCAGCTAACTAAGGAGTGCTCTAGTTATTCTGAACATTTTCCATAACCCTGTGTATTGAAAAGCACAAACATTACAGGCAAAGCACCCTGCTTACAAATGATGCTTAATTTGCAGTAAATAACCAAGTTAATTAGGAGTAATGATCCCCTAGACAGTCTCCACATCTAATTATTCTTTAAAAAAAAAAAATCTGGCTGCTTGATGCACTACAGAAAAAAGGATCTGGAGAGGATTTTTTCATTCCAATTTTCAATTTATCTCACTACATTATTAATTAATAATAATTAATATTCAGGCACTCACATTTTTATTTACAATTCAAGGCATGAATTCTTTATGAATTATGATACGAACTTTTAAATTTAATTAAGTAATTTAGAGGTAATTAATGCGTAAATTCAGAATATAAACTTCCTACTTGTTTATCTTAAAAGTGCTGCACTTGTCAGTAAAAAAAAAGACCTTTATGAGATGCAAAATTGCTGAGATATAACAGATCATCTACAGACTGGCAGCTGCAAAGTACATTATCAGCTGGGTGTTCTGGCAATTTCCCTCTTTTCTTCTTGAAGTATCAACACTAGAAGTCAGATTGCATTACAGTCAAGCAGAGGCAAACAAGGATTGTTGAAGAGAAAAGCTACAAGCAGCTTTTAAATCATGAAATGTGACCAGCTTTCAACGACTCCTTCTTATTATCAGACCTGTGGAAGGCACTGGCCTTCGGGGGGTGAGCAGCTGAGCCACAGTGCAGCCTTTAAGTGACCCCCAAAGAAGTAACTGACAATTGCTGTGCTGAGCAAGCTGCTCCTTGACAGGAGGGTGCAAACAAGACTTTCTGGTTATCTGCATTTACGCAGCCCTCTGAAAATAATTATCAGGAACAGCCCAAACTCTGCCATAGAGAGAACACGACTCAGCTGGGAGCCATCCACGTTGACTAATTTTAATCCTAGAACAATTAGGAGCTACCTTTCAGAGAACAGTTTGTCCACTACCATTTGCCATACACATGCCCAATTACCTTGTGAGATGACATCCACACAAGGCTGGTCTGCGTTGATCGATCGCAGAATTTTGTGGTAGATCTGGAACACCCCGGGGAAGTTCCTGTGGTATTCCAGCAGCTGCTTTGACATCTCCTCCTCAGTCACATCTGGTTTCACCAAACGTTGCTGTATCTGCACATCACTTGGCCAATCAAAGGTCGTGTGGTACACCTCTGGAAGTTAGAGAGTAATTAGGAGCTAAGAGGATGATTTCATCCATGCTGCTCAGCTCCAGTTTCATAGAGAATATCAAGGTCTACGTTTAAGCTTCAAATCGTAGCACAAGCAATAATCTGTGCAACACAGTTCTTAGCTGTACTGACAGCTACTCGAGAGATGATGTAGAGCTAAATCTGTGTGACAGTCATTCAATGGAAGACACACAAAACATGCCTGAAGCTCAGGAAAAAAATCAGGATCCAGCACAGATGCTTGATGTAAATTCATATGGACAGACCTAACCTTCATGATTCTGTACTGCCATATTCTGCTGTTTACAAAATCAATAGTGAGCTTTACATTTTGCCATACTTTTCTGGCATAGAAAATAATGTAAAGCGAATGCATTTTTTCCAAACTCTATAAATTTTGCATTTATAATTATAGATTTCTTCTCTTTTTTAAAGGGATGTATTAAAAGACTTATCCTAGCCTCGTTTCTAATCAAGAACAGGAAGAAACAAACACTGCACCTTCTGTGAGGGGATCGAGCCTCTTCCCACTGTTCCGCTCAATCAGCATAGTGTCTGCAGCATAGAGCACAACTGGACCCCCACCAAAAAACAGTAGGAAGAAAAAGAAAGAAAAGAAGTGTAGTTATTTGCTTTATTTCTTGCAGCTGGTCAGTTATATTCTAGTTTTAAAGATGGGTAAATGCATTTCAAACGCACTTGTCTCTGCTTGTCTCATTGTCCTTTCCCAGTGTTCTACTGCAAATAATTAGTTTCACTTTAATCAGTTTTCCTCCTTCTCCTAAACAGTATAGCAGGAGAAAATACATAATAATAACAACCTAAGAGCACTGGCTATCCCAGCCACCACATCCGTTAACAAGGCTCTTTCTCACTTACATTATATCCAGAATTTAGGACACACAAGCAGCCACAGATCATCCAATACTGATTCTCTTCTGCACCACGAGCAATTCCTTTACACCCAGCTATTCTGGTAGTGAAACCAGTGAAACTTATTTTTGGATAACCTCCCAGAAAAATGTTCAAGCTTAATTAGAAAGCATCAAAAGATGGAGAATCTGTCAGTTTCCCGGCTTGCTTTCAGCTCATCATTCTCACAGTTAAACGTTGTAATTTAATTACTGTTTTCAGTGCATTTGATTACAAGTTTCAAACCAGTTCTTCTTAAGAGTTTCTTCACAGTATCAAATAACACTTTCAGACACTTTTCTCCCTATTAAGGTACTCATACACTGTAAATCTCATCTCCTCTCAATCTTCTTTTTGATTAACTAGACAGACTGAGCTTTAAGATTCTCATTCAGGTCGTGGTTGCACAGATATAATTGTGAGCAAAACTTGACTTCAAATGTTATTAGCTATATTAAAAATACATGCAAGTACCAGACATTAAACATTTTTGCCTGACTCTATTGCAGTGATTCCAAATTCTTCATTAGCAGTCAAACCTCATCCAAATCAAATCCAAAGTGACAATCTGAGTTCTCTAACACTGTGTTAAGTTCAGCATCCACTGAGAAGCAGTACATCTATCACTTCACACTGTATTCCAGGCAATTGCAATCATTTCTTACATCTAAATAGGTTCTCTAACTGTATGACTTCGGGACAGCTGGCTGTTCTAGATGGCAATGGCAGCTGGACAGGTCGTGTTTGTGAGCTCTTTTTCAGTAAAGAAACGTTCCTCTCAAATCAAGTTCTAATTCATCCTCACTGGTGAAGATCAAGTCTAAAATCACAATGCTTCTTTTTCACTCGGTGCAGTTTGTGAAGCTTGTATTCTCTAATTCAGCAGAAGAATGAATTTGTATTTAGGGGATGAGGAAATTGCTTTGATCTGAGAATCACCAAACAGATTTAGAGATTGATTTAGAGATCTAGAGATTGAAATCATAAAAAATTCAGACCCACGCCTAGTACTGAAGCAAAGCTACATACAGCTGCTCAGAGATACTTGCAGGAATTTTCTCTCTCTAACATTTAGGAAGACAGGGGTTCACGTATGAAAGACAGGATCTCAAGATTTCCAGGTTAACTCAAGGTTCTGAGTGAAACTGAACTACACAGAAACATCCTTTGGCTGTCTGGTGACTCTGTTGTCACCAATTTTGATACTGAAATTAAAGAGGATGTTAGGGGAAGAACACTGGAGGCTTTCACCTGCTGATTGCAGCCACGCATCAACCTCGCACTGCTTACCAACGTGCCTCGGAATGATGCCAGATGATTGCAGCAACCGTGCCTGTTCCTGATTTTCAGGGAAGCCTTCCAAAATCCAGCCCTATTGAACAGAACCACGACAGTGTTATTGGTACTAGAAGAGAAAACCCAAAAAATAGCACTAAATATCAGCGCTGCTTGCAGACAAATTGCCTCATTCTCTATCAGAGCTGCACAAGATTTGTTACAGATGCCTATGAGAGAAGAACACAAACATGGAGCACTGGTGTTTCTGTGCAGTGGCACGCACTATCACCACCAGCACAGTGCAGAGGGCACTTTTGTCTTGCAGCAAAAATGTCTTTTGTTTTTTGTTCTGTTTTTTTTTCCCCCCTTGTCTTAAATAAAAGGAAACTTCTCTCTTGAATAAAAACAACCCCAAAACAATTTCTACAGTTTTGAAATATTCAAAAGGATACCGGCCCGCACTGTGGATAAAAAAAGAGGCTAAACAAATCTAAAGACAGATTTAATGCCAAGAACACCGAGGAAAACATGCACGCTTTCATTATTTTCTTAAATTATACAGGGAAACTCACAGTAATGGAACCGGCGTTCCCAAAGCTAATGAAGCAACAGAGCAAAAGAAAGGAAAAAGAAAAAAGAGCCTTTTGCTCCCTTAAGTCCTTGTTATAGCCAGCTAAGTGCTGGACTGAGCATCTTTAAAAAAACATTTACGGATTTGCAAAATAGCAGAGAAGAGCAGCAGCCTCACTCTGCTTCTGTGTGATGCAGTATTTGAGAAGTAATCACTTCCCAGACTCAAGGCTGAATCTTCAGGACTTTCTCTCATTTTTATCAGTGCCTGAACCACGCGTCCTCGTCACTACATCCCATACCCCCAGACAACTCTGAGATACTACAGTAAATGGGAAAACCATCTGCGTACTGAAATAAGACACTTTAATATTGCATTAGCTAGCAATCATTCTCATCTCCCACATAAATTTGAAGCTCTGCCAGTATGGGGTCCAAAGGTTTTAGAAGCATTTTCGCATATCTCCATGACTTCTGTAAGAGGAAATTGGGACATTCCAATTATACACGAAAATAGAGTAGACTGCTTCAAATTCCTTAATTAGCCTGGTTTCAGGAACATGTCATCCTGCTGATAGCTGTAGAAAATAAGAGCCTTAAGAAACCGCGAGCCATTTTTGCCACTCCCAGTGTTTGCTCTATCGAATGAGAATGAACCGCTGCCTAAGGTCACGCAGGTGCTAAGAAATCAATTTATCCCTTGGGACTTGCAGGAGGCAAGGCTGCACAGTATTTTGAGCAGTATGCAAGGAACTTCAGTGCTACTTCTGAATATGTTGTGTTTGTATGGAGTTATACAGGCCCGAATCTTCTTAGGAGAAATGGCATCAGAGGTTGGAAGGCAATAAATCTATGCCTATTTACACAGACCACAAATCTGGCTCATTTTCTTCAGTCCAAGCACAGCGCTTTTGGAAACTTAAACAGAAGGAAAAAAAAAATACAAAAATATCCAGCATGCCACAAAACCATGGCTTCTGGTGTCACTACAGCTTAGTGCTCAAAATCAAATCCTGAGCAACAGGCAGTAAACACAGCAGCCTGTTCTTTAACAGTGTAAGCTTCAAGATGCTTCTATACTCATTTCAAAGGTGCTTAAAGCAGGCAATAAGGAATTTTATAAATGAAAGTTTTTGCAGTGCAGTAAAACGTAGTTCGGTAAATGGCTTCCTGCAACAAATACATTTCAAGGCATTAAACAAATGCATAATAACCACTCGCTACAGAAATAGTTAGCATTTTGGATCTTATTTCCAAAGGTCTCTGAGTTCCAGGGTATCAGTCAGTCCCTAATTAGAATACATTATCCATCTACTTGACACTTCAGTGAAATGTCTATTCCACCACAGAGCTGCAGCTTTGTTCAGAACAGGTTTATTGATATTCTGCTGCATTCCCTCTCCATACCCCCAGTGGCTTGGTTCTGTTTTATCACACATCAAAAAGGCCGTATGCTCAGGGCACCCCGTGCACAGCTCAGAGCTGGAGGTCTGAACAGCTGCAAGTAGTATGGTATCACAGGAGGGACAAGCTCCAAGCAGATGTCACAGATAAAAAAAAAAATTATTAAAAAAAAAAAAAAAAGAGTAAAAAGGAATGTGGCTTGGGAACCAGCAAGAGGAAGCAACACACAGCAGAGCAAGACCTGACTTAAAATATGCCTATCATGCTTTATGCAAACACTGGTCTTTTTTGCCCTCCTGACTATCATTAAAGTGTAATTAGTAACTTCACATGGTAAATTTGCTTCTTTAAGAAGTCATCTATTTTTCGTTCTTGATAGCAGTAACCTTACATCCAAGCACGATTGCACTTTATCACATCAAGGGTTGAACAAAGGCTAAAAACCAGTAATTCCACGGTGCCTTACTCTGTGGTCACCGACTGCAAACCTCCATCCTTTCCCCCATGAAGACTGCTGTAAATACAAATTTCTGCTGGTGCCTTAATGCCAAGTGAAGTGCTCCTTGGAGACCCACACCACACCAAAATTCAGTGACAAGGAAGTACGCTCAAAGCCATCACTGTCCTCTCCAGATTTAAGGCATCTGGAGCAAAGGAAAACCTCAAGGTCATTCTGAAATGTAGATCTTATTCCTTCACTGGCACACTGCTCTCAGCTGTGAGACCAAGCCTACAGACTTTCACACCTTCCACCCCAACAAGAATGACCTAGACGTTCAATTCTCTCTTGTTATTTGACCAGCACAGCTTTAAAATGCTTTAGAAAAGACAGAACTGAGACTGGCTTGGAATAATGAAAACAGCAAAGGGATAGCACACAGATGTAGCTCTGAATTACATGGCACCTCTGAAAGAAATCTTAACCACAAGCATGGCAACCAAAGGGCATGACCAGCTTGGCCCTTAGGAAAACAGATCACTGCCACAGATTCTCTGCATCATCATCATTCAGTGGTTGTGAAAATTACCCCATCCTTCTCTGCCATCTGAAGAAAGGGGACAGAAAATAACACAACAAAATGATATCAGTAATAGTTCTGCCAGAATGGATCCCAAACTGCCAACCTGGCTCCTGCAGCCTGTCAGCATTAGGAGTACAGATGATGGAAGAAGCTCCAACTTTACCGAGTTCTCCATTAGGAAGAAACCCCTCATTCCCACATGCAAAGTATTTTTGTAGCTTTAGTTAACTATGAAGATATAAAAATGCCACATTGTGCTTGAAAAAAAATAGACCCTCACTATCTTTGGTATGGAGTTTCACAGAGACAGCATGATGATCTTTATCTGTCATGGCAAGATCAGAAGAACCAGTAGCCATTGCTTTCTTTTCCTTCTCTTTCAATGTCAACCACCACCCTTCTGAATAGTTTAATACCAATCAGATGTAATTCTGCCTCTATTCATGTGCATCACCAGCCTAAGCTTAGTTTCCAAGTGGTTTAAGGCAGGATGAAGGCTGCTCAGCTCTCTCTCTCACCAATTCATCATGTTGCAATCTCCTCACCAGCTTTCCCCAGTTCTGCGATTTCCCTCCTCAGTCCCAGCACTGGGAGTTACACAGCAGCCAGAGGTGCTATAACCAACATGCACTAACCCTGAAAGATGAAAAGTTTTCCTATCAACTTCCCAAGTCCCAGGTTCTAACATAATGCTTGCAATAAGTTTTCTGTGTGTGAGCTGGAAGACCTACCCATCTGATCCCTCGCAGTCCTAACGACATTTGTATTAGAAGAACACACAACACAGTCTCCAGCAGAGCTGTTGATCAATAAAAATGTTCTCCTTAGAGAATGCCTGTGACATCTATAAACCTGCGAGTGTCAAAACAATGGCACAAAAAATCCTGTATTCCTACTGTCAGTGGGATGAAAGCTGTGCAATTAATGCCAACTCAATGACACCACAAGGAGAAATAAAACAAACAGCTGGTGGTACTGTGTCCAACATCCAGCTCCTCATCTATTAACATTTTCAGTAAAAAAAAAAAGGCTGACTCATGCTTTGAGAGAGATGGCATAAATCTGCTCAGCGAAGAACAAAATCCACTGCATTACTTCCAGTCATACAGGGGGAATATGGCAATTGAAATCTCTGGATCCCCTCTCCCACGGAGGAGACATGCACAACGTGAGGAAGTTTTAGCGATCGTAGATTACTCTCTTTTAAACAAAATGGTTTTCATATCCATCTCTACTTCGAAAAGCCAGTTATGCTTATTTCCTAAAAAGAGCTGAAATCTTAACTTAGGCTAATAGTAAGAATTTCATTCTTTCAGAATGCCAGGGAAACTTTAGAAATAAAGGTTTTTTGCTTTTGTTGCTCCTGTAACACATCCAGAGCTGCCAGTTCCATCTTGCTCTGATAACAGCAGGAACAAAACGTGGGCAGGACACAGTGCAACTGCTGGCATCTGAACCATCTTGTCACCTCACTCAGACTTTGCATGACCTGGTACTTAAAAATGAGAACCACTTAGAGCAGCTGATAGTATCTAAATAATTCTCCATGTAAGCAAATATTGGTGTAATTTAAAAGTGCAGGGTTCAACTCATCACTTCAAATTTGCAGAGATTCAGCCCCATTACCATCAGTGGGATCCATACCTGGTGGAAAACTGTAACCTAGAGACAAGCCAGGTCTTCGCTTCATACATTACCAGTCATAAAACAATTGCACATGTTCCTATGGGGGAGGAGAAGTACTGTCATCTGTAAATATTTATGCAAACCAACGATGCACCCCAGCTTTTTGTTACAGTCAGTCTCTCGGTAAATCTGGATTATGCTACAAATTCAATGAAATGTTCAAAAATCACCCACCCTAACTTATTCTTACTCTTCCACAGCTTTCTCTACAGATGTGAAAAGAAGGACTTCTACACTGAGCTTCTCCCTATGTTCACACTATGTGAGCTTCTTCCAAACTTGGCAAGTTTTATTTCAGCTTAAAGACTTTTCTCAGTAACATTAAATACCAGCAGGCAGAATTTTAAATTCAATTCCCATACATACAGTGGGTTATCCAACAGGATAGGTCACAGTTTAGTTACTGCTAGTCCTAAAGCATTGCTGAAGGAGAGCAGCATGCCACCCATTTTGCTACAGCTATAGTTCTGCAACAGATATATGACACAGACAGATGTCCCCTAGCAAACCTGCCAGGAAAGAACAATTTAAGAGATTACATCTCCAGCTATTCATTACCATCCTGATCAAGTTATCCTTTCCACAGTTCATAGACTGTAATTGACCATCTGATCTAGCTTACACAAGGCAGGTCCACTGAAAGACAGCTCCACCAGTGGCCTAGGCTGAAGTAACTGACTTTGCATTGCAGCACAAGACCTTTATAGCAATCATTTACATCACCTGAGCTGTAAGGCAGAAACTTTCAGTCAGGGGCAGAAAACAATGATCTGAGTTCTTGCTAGTTTTGCTCCTTTTTCTTGCTAATTTTACAGATCCAGAAATGTGGGACATAAGGTTTCAGCATGTTCAGTTTCTTTTGGGGCTGATGCTGGGTCAAATTCAAGAAGCAATTTTCACACTTCAGTGAAATATTAATTACTGGCCCTGCTTTATTGAAGCAATAAGGTAGAGAACGATGTCAAGGAGTAACACATTTCAGTACAGCTGTGAGCTTGCCACATCCCTGCAAGGTCAGAAGTACCAGCTGGCCTATGACCACCAGCTGAAGAGACAGAGCATCCCTTCTAAGCACTTGTACTGTCTTCTGGAAATGTTGCTCAGTCCTTCATGAGTGCAACACCTGCTTTGGTCAATGGGCTTTTTCCTCTCAACAGTACATCAAGTAATATACATTATTATTCTGGCACCGTTTAGGGAGAGGTTTTTATCCTTACAGATTTGTCTCTCACCAATAATCCTTTATAATGGTCTGACTATGGAGTCAACAAACCATAACAACACCTGAGATTTTAAAGGAAACACATAAAGGAAGTTTTGCTTTTGTTGAGTCCAGCCATTAATTTCAACCAATATTAATCTACTTAAGGTCTCTTTTGATTCCAAGTTAACAGTCTCTACTTACATTAAGATCAAGCATACTGGAGTGGAAAGGGGAGAAGGAAAGCCACCCATCTGTGGGTACAACCAAACCTATGCAGTTGCCTGTTTGTGTAATTAACAGTGAACATATTAATTATTACCCAGAGGAGAATATATTCAAATTCAGTGTTACACGGTAAGAAACAAAAGATTCAATAAGAAAGGAAGCAAATTGAAATGAATAGCATTAGACTCTTTTTCCTCTTGTCCTCAATAAGAGTTAAAGCCTTAACATATTGATTTTTATATATTTTCTGTTTATCTGTTTTGTCCACTTCAACTCTGCCAGTTGCCCCAGGCAATCAACAAAGCTACACTTGTTCAGCCTTTGATCATCTCAGTGCTAAAAGATTAGCATATGCATACTCTCATCCTCCCCTTTATCCTGTTAATAAAGCACCAAACTCCCTCTGCTGATGTTCAAGAAAGCAATCCCCTCCCGAGCCCCCACAGATTTGCCCCTATTCCCTCCTCTGCTCAGGACTCAGAATGCTAACTACTATGCACGAGTTGTGTAAGTGCTTATCCACTGGTCCTCCGAGGAGCAATTCTTACTTGTTTGATGCAGTCCACGTTTGACAGACGTTCCCGGATCAGATTGGCCCAAAGCGCGTTGGGAATTTTCTAAAGAAAGAACAAAAAAAAAGAAGGCTGCATATTCACAATTGAGTTCAAAAGGAATTTTATCATGCAGGCATATTCCGGTTAAAGGTGAACTGAGATGTCTTCTTGAAATAAATATATAAATAACACTGCGCAAGCCCCAAGTCGTTAACATAATAGATCAGACAGTTAATAAAGGCATAAAAATGAAGGGAAGCTGAGCACACTTCTGCTTGCCCAAGCCCACCTCCATGTACTTTGCACAACCAATTTGGCAGTGCCAAATGTTGCACACTGACTACCATGTTGGACATCAAACTGGCAAAGGGATCCACAAGGATATCACATCCACATGTAATTTCTTTTGCAAGTATCTGGCCCCCTACGTCACGTCAGCACACAGCATTAGTGAAATGAACAGCCATGGCGCGAGCTCAGCAGAACGGCAACAACAGAAATATGAAGACAGCCTCATTTTCAGGAAGTTTGCTTCGGTTTCTGTTAACTCTCTTTCAATTTCCAGAAAGCTTATTTAAAATAAACGGTAATGTTAAAGTTCATTTTAATGTTAGTTTAATTTTCAACGCACAAGTTCCAAACAGAATTGAAATGAGACGTCCCAAAACTTTCTGTTGTGGCGTTTCTTTCTATGACTTCCACTTTGCCCACACGTACGGACGTTTTGTAACGTGGTATCTGCTATTGGGCAGGAGAACGAAGATCCTCCTCTGCAGATTTAATATTTTCCCAGCCACTCTGAGTCAATGACCATTCAGCTGAATGCTATGCTTCAGCCTCATTCACTTTGCCATCGCTTTGAAAAAATGCTGCTGTCAGATTCCCTGCCTTCCGAGGCATGGAATTATCTTTCACCTGACAGTGTGAACCAGATTCTTTCTTCCAAGCACTTGCATACACTGTGGGTTCCCATCTCTCTGTCTAACCAAACAGCCTGATGGACATGATCCTGAAATAAAGCGTTTCTGTAGGCTTACATCATGTTGAGGGATGCAAACAGGCCTGGTGGAAGTGTGGCGAAAGGTCTCCTAGCACACTAGTCACAAAACACTTTCACCAGGAGCACTGAACACACTACCACACGATTCCTACTTTAAAGTAGAGCGGAGAAAGCGCTGCAGAAAACAGTCCTCGCCCAGCAGGGGAAGCAACAAGGCGGCCCAGCCAGGCACTGCTTTCCTTGTTTTGTTCATCTCTGCTGTCCCCAGGCCTCAGCACCTGTGGTATTGTCAGCCATTCATCAGGCAGCATTCGAGCAGGTGAAAGAGGAAAGGGAAAGGAATCGCTTCGTCTCCTGAAAGCCAGCAGGTCCCACAGGACGGTGTGTCAAAGCCTCTCGCCGTCTCTCGCTGCTGGAACCTGGGTCTGTGGCTTTGAGTCTGTCACCTTCCAAAGGTGCATCATGCTGCTATCAGAAACAGCCAGCGTCTTGCTTACTTCTTTGATGTGTCATGTCAAGACGGGCTAGCAACTGCCAGGGGTCCACTCTGCTAAGCTCTGCCAAAGCAATTTAAATTATACTACCTTCTTTCAGTGCAGCGGTATTCTTAGCACTCTTTTGAGCAGGGTTTATTGCACAAAAGCAGTTCAGGTGACACACAGGTATTTCTGTGCTTTAGCTACTTCTGCTCTCTGTGGCTCGAACTCCAGCCTCATTTCCTGGGCAGTTTTCCTCCCACTGAGCAGCTGCCTACAGAACCACTTTGAACAGCTGGCTTGTAGGACACCTGATTATTGCATTAGAAACCATGAAGTCCAAAGCACATGTGGTCTATAAAGCACATTTACACATTAACACGTGAATACATCACGATAAAGCAGGACTTCTCCTCCCAGGAATCTGCAAGAATGGAAATGATGCAAACCCATCTGATGACTAAAGCAGTGCATCTGATTGCAGGCACTCTGAGCCTGTCCCAGAATCCAGTTTGGTTAATGGAAAGACACACTGCTTGAAATATCAAACCTTCCAAAAGGCACAAGAAACTTGGCTTAGCATTTTGAAAACCATGAGTGTGTACATTTAGACTGTTCAGAGAAAAATACCCAACAAGGATGGGCTTTTTTTAGTTTGATTTTTTTTTTTACTGCATACATAAGAGTGGAACAGTTCCTATTCATTTGTTCATAGTGACTGCTCGAATAGAACACTGACCATGCATAAAAAAGGATAAAACCCATGCATAAAACCGTGGCTTTTCCTTTCTTCTATGCCTTCCAAGAAATTACGAGGATGTGATGCAACTGTAGAGCAGTTCTAAATGATGCAGTAGTACACAAACACCTGTAACTCAGTACTGAACTAAAAGCACACCCATCTCACAAGCCCACAGCTAGCAGCACAGCTCTGTCAGCTTCTTATTTTACCCATCTAACAGGAGAAGTGAAACATGCAGTAGCACATCATTAGACTCCACTATAGGAAAAACCTGAAGGTGCTTTCTATTAACATTATAATAACTAGAGATGAGGGAATAATTTGCAATGATTTATCAAAAAATGTAGCCTCTTTTTCTGTTCATGGAATATTTATTGGTAGCTCATGGTTCCTCAAATTTATTGAATATTCAAATATTTTACTTCTTTTTGGAATACTTTTACATGCAGAATGATCACATTTTGCTTTGAACAGTCAATATTTAAAATTCACTACTTCAGCTGTGCTCATTAGTAAGTGGCCAGGTGTGTTAGTAGATGATTGCATGTCCAAATTTAAAAATTGAGCTAAAGAGAATAATCACATACTTTAAATACCACGAATTCTCATGCTTTTTTTTTTTTTTTCTTCCTAGAAGTGAACACAAAAGAGATGAAAGCATAGCTAAAGAGAAGTAAAATATGAGAACAAATATTTGCAGACCTTTTTGGAGCATTTGCCCAAATCTGGTAACATTGGCCTACTGACCCCAAAACAAATGACCTTTGGCACGGGGTTAATGTAGCCCCAGACCCCTGCACACACAGAACGTTCCTCTAACATTAAATTGTGCCATGTGATCTTCACACTAGACTCTCAGAACCAGTCTTAGGTCATGCTTTTCTTCTTTCCATTTATTAAATTGCTTTGGCCAGCAGTACAACGTTTTAAATGCCCTGGTTGTATGGAAGATTGTATAAACAGCTATTGTTCTGTTCCTGAACAGACACTCAAAACCTATTAGTGCTAATGGATGTTACGTATGCTAAGGAATCAAGTTTACTGCTTGCTTCAGAATAACCTAGGGTCAGTTACTGCTAAGGTAGATGTAGCCAGCAGCCATGAAACTGGAAGAGAACACACAGCTCTTGAGATGCTGCTCTGCCTACATGTTAAGTTACTCCAAAGGTTCAGTTGATTTAGAGGAAGCAAGGAGTTCCCTCCCAGCGTTAGGAGTTACATATGAAGATTCAAATTTGTGTGAAAGAACAAAAGAAATGAGTGAGCGATTTAACATTTAGCATTTAGCATCTCAAAAACAAAGGCAAACTGCACAGTGCTGAAACACCAACAAATCCTGCTCTTCAGGCACTCCTCACAGCCCTCACTACCTGATTAGCCTTGACATTTTTGCCTTTCATCTTCCACACCATCCATCTTTCTAAACCAAATAAGCCCAAAAGGACACCCTTGAAAGTGCATCTGTATAGTCTGAAATACATTAATAATTAGAGTAATTAAACCAACGGGAATTTTTGTTTTAAATTCTCCCCCATCTAAGCTGAAATTTATGAACCCAGTAAAACAATCTCTAACAATTAGAACTGAAATTTCAAAGTACATATGCTCAGTAAGAATAATTTTCTATCATCCCAGCCAAAAGCAAACCTTTTTCGCCAGCATATTCCATGATTTCAACAATGTCTTTCCTCTCAGATCTTTAAATCTATCACCTGAGGTATCTCCAACCTTCACTCATCAATTCAGTGTAACAGACACCACTCCGTTTTCAACTTAGTTTTCCCAGGAAACCAAAACTCTGAAATTACACAACCTACCATCTTAGTAAGTTCTGAATCTGTTGGCCAATTCAAATCAAATTTAGTAGGGATGTGGAATTCTTACAGACATAAAATTCTTTCAGTTTTTATGAAAACAAGCGATGAAGGAGAAAAGCAACTCAGAGCAGTGGACTTGCTAGAGATGGTCACAGAAAAACATGCTGCTTTCAATGGAAAACCTGGAATAGAGCAAACAGTGCACTCACAGCTGGACAAAGTGCACCTGGGGATGGAATGATCTCCTGAGTTACTGCTATTGCCTCAGTTTGAAAGCTTCTACAGCTTTCAACAACTGACTGAATTGTCATTCAAATTTTGAGTTGATGCACTGAGTTATTCGTGTCATGCTACAGAGAAATCAAATGTGCACGACTAAGTAGCTCTGTCAGATCAAAAAAGAGTTCTCTGTGTACATATTTTGTACTGAAGGAAGCCTCAGAGATTAATGCTAACTTTATGGAGATTACCAAATATGCTGAAACCAGAAGGTGCTTTGTTTGATGATATAATGAAACACTCTTTAAATGGTACCAAGCATTCCTGGGCTTCTCTCAGTTCTGTCAAGTCATCTCCAAGGTTGATGTTTTCAAGATCTCCATTATTCTACATTTTCTTCCTCCCTCACCCCTAATTCTATGCCCTGCCATATTCTTATACTTGTAGATATCTTCTTATCAAGCAGAGGCTACCCTTCCTCTCTGAAGGACCCTGCACCTACGTAAACATAAATTGATGCATAAACCTCCATAGATACAAGAATACTTACTCTGATCTGCTCAACTTATAGCAGTGGAAATCATGGAAATGCCACATAATTCTCCTTCTGTGCCATGAGAGCTACCATTATTATATCCTCTTACACACCTGCTTTCTTTCTTTATATGCCTTTGCTTCCTTTGTCAGAGCTAATGTTTCCTTGGAAAGCAAAGTCTCCTGAGAGATACGTATGGCTTCCAAATGTTTACAAAGCCGTATTGCCTGAGGAAAGATAAAAAAAAGTACAGGATGAAATATCTGGAAAGAAAATGCAGCATTTTTTCAGCAGACTCGAGAAAGAAAGGGAGCTTTCCTCACCTTCAATTTAAACAAGCAGACTATGTGTGTAACTTTAAACAGTATCATACAAAGACGTTCAAGAATCTAAAGCTTTGAATAAGGCCTTTTTCATCTACCTTACTATAACATGGATTTTAAAGAAGAAAGCATTCTTCCTAGCATGCACACAGCACCATCATCTGTGAAGTTTCTGTGCTCAGCTCTCTCTGTGGTTCAAACACAGCTTCGACATTTTCAGTGTGGACAAGAGAGGCAGCTGGCCATGCCAACAAAGCAACCAGCAATGTGGGAACACCACAAACTCCTCCCAGGTTCACTGAAAAGACACACAGAGTTCTGTACTACAGCACTACCACCACCACTACCCTGCAGGTTCTCACAGAGCTCACGTGAATGCTCCCATTTAACTTACAGGTTATGGTAGATAAGCCTATGAATGCCACCCTTCAACGTGCCTTGTGCTCTTCTATAACTGATCTTCACAAGTGCTGTGCTAAGTAAAAAGCAAGAAGGTATGTGGAGAGTGTCAGAGCCCTGAAGAGAGCACACTTACCATTGTAGTTTTACCAGAAGCAGGTGGACCGAGTATGAAAATCCTTGGAGCTAAGAAATGAGAACATGCAAATGTTAAGATGTGGAACAGAAGGATCCAAAGTTGTTTCCTTGTTATTGCACAGCCTAACCATAAGCACATAGAAACAATTATTTCAATAGGAAATCTGCCTGAATGTAAAGCTCAGGACTGGGCTAAGGAGAAAGAAGGGGGAACACTCAGCCAGTGCCACCTCGGTCTGTCTTTAACCTCCAAGGCTAATTAGACTGATATCCAACTAAACACATCACTTAAGCATATTTCTATCTATTCCAACGGATAAATAGTTTATGGGGTGAACCAGAGCATAAACAGGAACATTTTCTTATCTCAGTTTGACTTCTATTCCCAAAAGATTGATTCAGAGCATATTTTGCAATGAAAAAAAGAAGATAGTTTGTGTTTGCAGGACAAGACTACTTAAAAGTGACTAATGCTGTAATCACAGGGCTGTTGACATTGGATGGGATCTTCGGAGATCATCTAATCTCTTCTCATTTTCCTAATGAAGTACGGTAGCAAAACCACCAAACTTTGGCAGAGCTTTTGGCTCCCATCACAAAAAAAGGAGACTCTGCATTTTAGTTGCAACTCAACAGCCGTGTCAGGGTCGAAAGAAGATTTAGATGTTGCAAAACTAAGCACTTTTTCCTCTGCGCTTTGACAGCTGCCTTCATGTTCTCAGGTCAGTGTTGAAAGGCCTTTTTTTTTTTCCCCTCTCTGTAAGTTGTATTTCTCTGCTGTGTGTCCCCCACACAAGATGGGGAGAATTCTCAATCCTGCCACTGATAGCTGTAATGTGAACAGAGCAGGGGCAAGGCAAAAAGAAAAGGGGGAAAATGGAGCAACTCTCAGGAAAGTTTTTGGGACTTTTTGCACAACCACATTTTGGGCTGCAATCCCTGGAGCTGACATTTTCTGTTAATGCCTTTGATGTTTTCTCAGGAAAATTATAACAAAAAAAGGATCATCTAGAGAAAGGGCTGACAAGGGCTTAGCAGCAGTAACACAGGGCAGCACAGAGGAGGGATCTGCTCACCCCCAAACCTCTTCAGTTCTTGGTAACCGAGGGAAATGCAGCGTGTGATGACAGCAGACATGGAAGGATGTGAAATGTATTTTTATGAGGCCTTCCACGCACTTACCAGTTATTGGGCAGGTGCAATTTTTAAACATACATGAAACCCAAATTACAGATTCATCTTTACAAAGTTCTCTGAGGCGGAAGGTTTAAGAAAAACTCCCCCTTATTGGTTCTTGCAAGTGCAACAGAACTAGTACACAATGTAGAAAAATACTTTAAAAGGGTACATCAGCTGTTTTTATCACCTAATTTCTTTCAAATGTAATGTGATTAAATCCTAGGGCTTTTTTTTTTTTTTTTTAATCTAACACCTTGAAACTCCAGCCCGATACTTAGGAATTATTTATAAACAGCGTCATAAAAGAGTGCTCGGGTGCCAACACTAATCAACTTCTTCAAACCACTTCAAAGAAAATCAAAAAACCTTTCCATCCACAGATCCTTTTGAGGTTTAACTAGGAGCGTGATTTAAAATTCACAAGAAAACCCTTAGGTATTGAAGCTTTAATACACAGCTTTCTTGGACAAACGTTTGATAAAAAACGAAACATACCATTATATACACCATATCATGCTTTAATATTGCCCAGGGCTACTGTAAATGCTCACTTTGTACTAAATCTGGTTTTCTCTCTGCTTAGTGACTCGCAGCAGATGGGGCAGCGTAATTCACTGATTTACTCATTTGCACACTTGTAAGGCTCTTCTAAAGCATTCTCCCCAAACATCCGACACGAGGGCACAAGCAGGACATGGCTGGATGTCATATTTAACCCCCTCCCATCAGCAGACAGTCGGTGCTTAATGCTGCAGGTCCGGACCTCCATCCCTAAACAAAGTGAGAAAAACCTGGAAAAGGACTTTTCCTGCAGCAACAAATCGCATTTCATCCTGTGTTCAGTCCCGATGTTACAGGATTTACTCTTCCAAGCACTATTAACTTTTAACATCCAAGGATGCTCTTAGCAATAAGCAAAATGAATTCTGGAATAATGAAATACGGCTGGACTCTCTGCATTCCATTTAGGTCCAAAAGAGTCTACAATTAATATTAATGCAATAAAATCTGCTTGATTTATAAGGGAAATTCCACGCCAAAGAGGAACAGCACGCAGTATGTGAAGAACATTCTTACAGAACTGTGTTAAATTCCTTCAGAGGAATTGTAAAGCAAAAGCTCACAGAAATGCTGCTTGGATCCTGAAAGCTCTCTTTGTTAACAAAAACCAAGATGCAACACACAAAATGCACATCTCTGTATATTAAAGAATTCTCAATCTTCGTATCATTCGTTAGGGCTTCCAGAAGGATCACAGGAAAGAAGAACATCACAGAACTGGAAGCACAAACCCATTGGTGTGCGTCTGACCTCGGAGCTTTCGGAGGCAGTTGTGAGCTATAATCATCATTAGACTTGTTTATATTTTTAAGAGTACTTTAGATCTGATTATTAATTAAAAAGGGTTGCTAACTTCACACCTGGGATAGACGCAATACTCCTTTTCCACACGTCTCTGTTTGAAATTTTCTCTAGGGCTAAAGCTGTCTAGCAAGGCAGGATCATGAAAATTCATTGCTTTACTGATGGCTCTAATAAGGGTTTTTTTTCTTCTAAATAGTCAGCACCTTCTGCCGTGATCAAAAAGGTAAAATCAACCTTGTTACAGATTTCTGTTACGTTACTTTCCATATAATTTATCTCTAAAACAACATTTAGTCTCTAATTCTAATTGGAGCGCCTTCCCCTTCTTAATAGCTCACTCCAGACCAAAAGCAGACAGCATTTTTCCTCTGACAAACAACTGCTGTAGTTCTATCTTTAGCCTCCAAGAACTGAAGCCACAAAATGGCAGCCCGCCTAAATGCGCTCAAATAATTCTGTGGGGCTCAGCAACAAATGCTCGAGTAATGCAGAGAAATCTCATCAGCATTCTATCGAGCTGCAATTCCTCTGCAAATTGCCCACGGGCCAATAAAACAGATTGATTACTGGTGCTGCCCACATCAGGAAGGGTCAGGCATAATTTGCAGGGCTGGACATTTCTTTCTGGTTTTGATCCTGAGCGGGGTTTCAATCAACATCCATCTGATCCCTACCACGATGTATGAAGATCTCAGAGCACCTCCAGTGATAATGACTTCATTGATGCTGCAGCAGAACTTTCGTAATGGTTTACTCTGGTTTTAAAGAAACATCAAAGCAACGTGACGCCAGCTATTCCTGACAGCTCACGCAGAACAAAAATTAGAGTTCCGTTGTGCATATCCAAATAGAATCTGCCTAAGGGTGAACAGTTTGTAAATCAAATAATTTGATTGAGTGTACATGCTTTTATTGTGCAGAGCACAGCCTTCCCATTCAATTTACCAGGTTTTGTTATCCACACAAGTAGGCACACTCACTGTTCCTTCATCTGAGATGCCACTGAGCGGCGGAACTCATTAACAACAGCTAGTAACTAACTAATCAAAAACCAGAGAATCTGCCAGCCCAGGTAGAATGGGAAACCAAATTTACACCTGACAAAAGGAGTAATTAGTGAGCTTAAAGACAACAGGAAATATCAGATGGGGGACGGAACGCATTAATAATTGATACAATAGAACTCTTTGTTATTCCCTGAGAGGGTTTCATTGTTATAACTGTTATAAGTGTGTTTTTTATTAGATTACCCACTAAAAAAAAAAAACAAAAAAACAGATGATGATGAAATTAAAAGCACCTTACTTATAACCACTGCATAATGCTCAATCCTTTTTATTCCTACCAGGGAACGGTCTGAAACCTTTCATCCACCCTTTGCCAACCAAAATGCCATTTCTGAGCAGCTCGTTGCAAGTAAGGCCTTGCACTGTCTCTAGTCTCTCAATTTTCACTTACCATCATCATTGTGCTGCTCTAAATGCTCTATCATAAACTGAATGGGGTCCTCCGGCTTATGAATTAACAGCTCTTCAAGCATGTTCTGAAAAACAACAGCACAAAGTCAGAGGAAAATTAAAGTCACCACAGGAGCAATGTTACAACAAGGTGGTGATGAGGATCTTAGTCACTCATTTTCTTAGGTCCCCTTCAACAGACAAAGCAGGGAATATAGACCCTATTTTAGAGGCTGAAAAAGCGAAACAAGGTTTTACAATAAATAAAGAAATGAATTAAATGAAAACCCCACAGCAATTTGCTTTTGCTTATTTATGATACATACGGAGACCTGAGGGGTTTTGCCCCAGTGTTGCAGTGGCTGAGCCAGCACTGACATCAACCCACACGGACAGCACCAAACCAGCCTCCTTCGTGCCTTTTTGGGGCAAGTTAAACCTGTGTCACATCCCCACAAGTGCCCAGTGAGCCTAGAGGGCAGTGGAATAGATGGGGCCCACAGGAAATACACACAACTGCCCCAAACCAAGCAATCAAAACCACAAAAGCAGCACATTTTGCTGCTTCAATCTTGCTGCCCTCTGTCCTGCCATAAAACTAGCAGGGGAAAAAAAGGTTTAAAGCCCTTTTCTGAACTCTGATTTTGGATCCTGTTCTCTTATTGCAGAATGGAGGCTGTGGAGGAGCTGAGCTGAAGCCCCTCCAGCAGCACAGATCTCTACTGACTGCGGCTCTGTGGGCAAACACCACTCCATCCGTTTTCTCATCAGGAACTTCAGCACAGCTGGGAGTTCTGTAATTACAAGGAAACCTCAAACAGTGCTGAGTGAACGACCGTCTCCTTTCCCACCCAGCAGCAAACAGCACAGCACAAAGCTCGGCTTCTCGTAAGTTCAGCCCACGACCATCGCTTTGCAGCGTTTGTTCGAGCTGCGAGCCCTGACTGAACAGAGCAAACCGAGCTTTATAGAGCTTGTTCAGGCCGGCAGCGATGGACCCTCGCCGTTCCGCGCCCACACCCTCACGTGCCTCCCCTCCATTTCATTCACTTCTGCACATCGGGGTTCAGTTTGACGCTGGCACTCCAGCTATATGTGCCCACTCCTGCGACGCCGGAGGCTGTGAGGAAAGCCGGGCCCCCCCGGCCCCTCCCCGCCCCCGTTCACCTGCAGGAGCCGGAAGAGCCCCTGTCGCTCCGCGTAGTCGCCCACCGACGGCGGCCACGACCGGGCGGGGGCGTCCATGGCCGCCCTTAGCAACCGTCCGCGGCGCTGCGTTGCTATGGGGTGACGTCACTGCAATGCGACGCAGCGACACGTGCCCCGAAACGTAAGGAGGCGCTGCAGTGTGACGTCATCGAACGGCGACGGTTGCTACGGAGACGGCGGCGGCGGTTGCTAGGGACCCGGCTCGGGGTGCGTGCTGAGCCCGGCCCAGGCCCCACTGCCCCGCGCGGCCCCACAAGCCGGTACGGAGTTGCAGGGGGAGGCCCGGCCCTGTTCTCTGCGGCGGTGAAGGGGTGAGGGGGGCGTTGGAGCCACCTGCGGTGCCGGGCAGAGGCCCTCCATTTGCCCCGCTCTCCCCCTCAGGCAATGGTTCCACGCGGGCAAAAAAACGACAGCTCTCCCTGCGGCCATTTCCCAGCGCCGTGACTGATGCAGTGCTGCGTTATGTTTACAGCAGCCCTGCTCGGGTTTATGGCAGCTGATTGTCAGCGGCCCCCCGGGCTCTCTGCCTCTTTTCCAGCATCGTTACCGCTGCCATGACTTACTGCCTGGGGCCCGGGGACCACCGTGCTTTGACGTCGTATATCTTCTTTTTTATCCTTCTGGTGGTGGAGTTGCTTTCCAACTCTGCTGAAACATAGAGTTACACACGTAGAATCATGACATTTCTAAAAAGGAGCTGCTTTTCTCTCCTTTTCTCCCAGATTCCAACAGTGGGAAAGGATGAATGAGGTAAGGGATACCCTAAAAGTCATAGAAGACAACTACAAGCTCTTCCTGCAGCAGCAGTTCACGTTTATTGGAGCTCTGCAGCACACCAGAGAGAATGCACACGACATGATCAGACCCGTGGCGAGCATCAGTCAGGTACAGAACGCTCAGCACAAAGGTTTCTGCTGATGGGAACCGGGCACAGCGATGCAAGAATGCACAGAAACTTGCTACTAATGTGTGCACAACTGTGAAGCAGTGGCAAAAGATTAAGCAGGGGAAAGGAACACCTCTGTTAGACTTTCCCACTGACAGAAAAGGAAGTACATTGCTCAGCATTGCTGTAGAATTTAGCTTAACGCTGTCATTTCACTGCTGAGGCATAGTCAGAAATACAGGGTACTACAAACAAACCCACCCTTCCTCCCCAGCCACACACGGAATCTGTAATCCTTAACTTGCAGTAACCAGCCTGCTTGCCTCTTCCCCTGGTATTGGTGCTACCGTACCTTTCTGTAGGGCTTATTAAAAATAATGGCTGTGTTACAGAGATAGTATGATGGATCGAGGGCTGAAAGTCCCAAGTGGGCTAAGGTGTTTTCTGGGCTGGTAAGTAAAATGTCATGGAATTTTGATAAGGGGATGTTTTAAGTAGTACAAACTTCAATCACTGGAAAACAAAGGGGGAAGAAAAATCCAAACAGAACTAGAATAGTGGATGTGAGAAAGCAGAACCCAGGCACAAAGAACAGAAGCATGCCAAAGCCAGATTGAAGGCCAAGCTCTTACTAGGATTAACAAACTAAAGAGGGCTGACTTTGTTCTAACATTGAAGGGTATTCTCACAGACATTAAGCTAATTTCTTTTTTTCCCCCCCAAAAAATAGACATTGAAGTTTTGTATAGCATTATGTTGTTTTTAAAAGCACAGGTATTGCAGAAGCACAGAGCAAGCTCGGACTCTGCTTCCTGGTGGGGTGGAAGACCTGCTTTTGGTAGCGATGAAACCTCCTAGCAACTACTTCATACCTGACAGTGACACTGACACAGTGATACAGGGACGTGGACTCAGCAGTGGCAAACCTTACTGCATGGGTAGCCCTAGGGATATCACCATGTCACCTTAGAGAAAGGAGAGAAAAAGGAAGAGATTGTTACTGGGGAGAGCAGGGAACATCGGTACAGCACGCGGTGGTGGGCTCTTGTGTGGGAACTGAAATGAAGAAATTTAACTGGGACAAAAACAGTCACACATTTAGTTTCACTGCCATTCTTCTGCCTTATCCCAATCTTGTTTTGAATTGTATATAGGAGGGCATAGGAATAAAACCAGCAAATACCTGTGCTGTCACTTGCTTCAATCAGAGACTCAAATAACCCAGCAAGTGCCTCCTCCGCCGAGCCTGGCTGTGCTCATGGCTTTAGTCCAGCTCTCCCTGAGCTCCCCAGGCTGCAGCTTAAGAGCCAGCAACTCCTGCTGCAGAACCTGGTGGTCACTGCAAGCTGTTGCTCACGTTGTCCTGGTCCCCTCCTGGTGCACTAACTCTCTTCTGTTGATATGGACAGAAAGAAGTCCTGTAATCCTGTTGATGAACACCCAGGCTAAAACACTATTCTCTTTAGGACTGTTTCTGCTCAGAGCAGCAATAAAAAAAAAATCCTGCCACTCACGTGGACAGAACACAGCATGAACACAGAGGAAGGAAAAATCCGTAGCGGAAATGGATCCTTAGGGGCCTTCTTTATTTCTCTTGCAAACCTGCTGAGAATTTGCCCTGGTGTACAGCATGGCTGTTCTGTATGCACAGAGCATGCTGGTGGTGGAGCAGTTCCTTCGTTCTTATGCTGTAGTCTTACAGAAAGCACTGAAGGTGTTACAGTCCAGCCTTGGCTGCCAACCCCCCCTCTGTGTTTTACATTCCTACCACTCAAGTCTGAAGCATCTGTAATGCTTTTGGAGCAGATACTGAATCTCTTGTCATAGTCTTTCACCACACAGTGCCATTTACTCTGAGAAACAAAACCATTCAAGGCAAATAGGGAATTGTCATTGCTATAACAGGTTAGTAAGGACAACTCAGGTTAAATGCTTTTAATTTTGCTGTCACAGCTAATAGTGCCAAATAAAGAACCATGAACAACGTGCACGCATGCAAGCACATCCATGCTTTACTCCAGAACACTCCCTGTTTGGCCACTACCCCCATCTCCCACCCCATTCTATGAAAGCAGTTGTGGCATTACAGAAGACAGTAAACTCCCCTGCTTACACCCAACCCAACTTTGCAGTGCTCATAGCAGAGCTGTTTTTGGCTGCAGTACTGCCATACTACTCTCCAAAGAGGGAAGGAAGGCTTGTTGCTGTGCTGACAAGCAGATCCATTACCCCAGCCCTCTTCAGCTGTGATGAATGATGAGCGAACAATCTCAGGCATGCCCTAGAAAGCTTACTGCTTGCCTCTGTATCATTTTCCATAGTGGCTCATTCCTTCAGTCACACCAGAAAGTATCTGCTGTTCACTGACTTAAGCAACTTTGCAGCATATCACAGTGTAATTTAACATGCATGACCCCATCTTTCCCCACGTTGCACTCTGCAGGTACAGTCCTACATGGACCACCACTGTAACAACTTAACGGACAGGCGTATCCTCACCATGTTCCTAAACATCTGTAATGACCTGAGCAATCTCTGCCACAAGCTGGAAACCATGCATCGTGGTAACAGCACAACCAATGAAATTTTGGAAAGATGCAAGCTGCTCCTTAACCACAGCAATGATCTGAGCACCATCAGAGCCAAGTACGTCTTTCCATCAGCTGAGTTCTGTGGAGGCAATTGTGGACACAGGAAGACTGTCACAAGAATGCATATTCCTACCTGACCTCCCTGCTGGTTTCTGTTATGACACCGTTCTGGCTCCTCCCTGCTATTCCTGCTCTGTGTGTAGTTAATTTCGTGGAGCAGATGTTTGTATTTGCTCTTGAACTCTTGCAGGCTGAGTCCAGCAGCCACAACGCCGCGTGTGGCACAGCTCCTTTCTCAAGTTCTATCAGCATCCTTTTGCTCTGGGGACTTTGCTGCCTACATCTCCACCTTTCCCCATGGGCTCAGGGTGGCACTGCTGGACTCACCAGGGCTGCATTGCCTGGACTACTCAACGAATGCTTCCTTCTGTCCCACAGATATCCTCACGATGTTGTGAATCACCTGAGCTGCGACGAAGCAAAGAATCACTTTGGAGGTGTGGTGAGCCTCATCCCCATCGTCCTAGATGGTGTGAAGGAGTGGCTGTCCCACATTGAGAAGCTGCCACGGCACATGGTGTGTAACGTGAGTGATACAAGTGCTGAGAAGAGGGCACCCCAGGATGCAGCATCTAGGGCAGCCATTTCCCCCCAAACACCTTCCGTCCATCCTGAAGCTCAGACCTCAGTTAGTAACAAAGATTGTGTACAAGTGCAGGGGAATAAGCGTGTCAGAAAGAAGCACATGACTGACAATCACTGTGGGAAACTTAAAGGCCCCTGGAAACCACCTGGCAGACATGCCTTTTAAAGGATTGAAGGTCGTGTATCTTCCACTTAACCGCCTTTAATCAGGTGGCTGATTAAAGATAGTGAAATGAACGCTGGAAATCCAAGATCTGAAGAGTTAGTCCTGGCAGATCTATCTTCCTCTTCCTTGCTGTTATTTCCACTCTCCTCCTGAAAGTCAGATCTCAACAGAAGCAGCTTTATCACTCGTGGTCCCTTTGACAAGTATTGTGGTGAGAGTAACAGTGAGGAGCAATCATATTCTAATCATACTGGGCTTATCCCTAAGATTTCCCCACCCCAGCTGATCCCATGGAAATCACCAGCTTTTTGGACCAAAGAATCAGTGTCGACACGACTGTAATGCCATTGGCTATAGGAAAGGTCAGCATGGTTTAACTGCACTGCCTGGGCTCTGCGGGGTCCTTGCAGATCCTCACATCATCACCAGTAACACCAACCAGAACATTTTCCTCATATCCACTTTGACTTCTTTGCTGTCAGCAGAGCTGGAAATATAAAGGATTCCTCCCCAGACCCAGGCAAAGCTAATGGGAGGTCCTTTTCATTAAGCATGATTAATGGGAATCTAAGGGAAGCAGAGATTGAGAAAGCGGTGGCCATTTTCAGATGGTTCCTTTCTTTACAAACTGCAAGTTATATATATAAAAAAAATGCCTCTCCCCCTTTTCAAGAAAAGAACCCAGCTCCCTTGATTTTCAAGGGCGTTATGACACCTCGTTCATTAAAACTGAAAGGCACTGGAAATGGTCTCACACTGCTTTTATAACAGCCCTTTGCAATTCCAGCACAATACCTTTTCCCCAGTTGCTGAGAGCAGCTTTCCTCCCAGCCCTCTTTGGGGGCTCAGCAGTTACAGAGCCCCCACTCCCTGCAGCCAACATGCATCTATGGTGGTGCTTTTATTCAAATGCAGTTAGCTACAAACTTAGGATCTCACTAACGCAATGTCTTCCCTGTATCTGACTGCTCTTTTCCCCTCCCACAGGCAAATTAGCTCCTGTTCTTTGCTTCCTGCTGGAAGACACTCCTGAATAAACAATTTCCCCTTGCATATTTGGCTCAGTTTGCTCCAGTTGTGGAAAGCTGTTGCCTTACGACCAGATTTTGGCAACAAGCAGCCAAAAAAGAAGGGAGAATTAACACAACACAGAGAAGGGAACATAGTAAGGAATGATGAAATAAGTAGTTCCAGGAGCACTGTGATTCCTCACACATACCCTCTTTCTTCTCCACTTTCCTTCCTCCCCTGCCTCCATGTGCTGCTCTCTAATACATCTGCCATCTGGAGAAGAAGCTGATTTTTATGAGGCATTGCACTCCAACTGAAACACGATGAACTCCAAAACCTTCCTGAGATGACACAGACTCCAGGGCACTAACGGGGCCACAGCAGCAAGATGTGCTTCATTAGGGAGCTGTGTTGCAGAGGCAGCTTTGGGGGTAGGAAATCAAAGCTGTCTGCAGCTGCCTCATTGTGTTTCGTGTTGCAAAGACAAGTGTCTGATAACAGTTGCTGGCCTGGAAAGTTTTCCAAACCCAGCACAGCTATGTTGACTACAGGGCAACAAGTGTTGGGACACCAGGGATACAATTCCCAGCTCTCTTTTCTGGCTGTCCCAGCACCAGCTGCCAAAACATTTCAGTTTGAATATGCAGGCTCTGATCAGACTGCAATTACCCTCCACTCTAGAGCTCCTTTCAGTTCCCACAGCACATGACAGCACAAACTGCACGTCAGAGCAGTGCCACCAGAGCTGCTGCCTCTCCAGCCCCACTGTTAGCACTCGTGCTTGACAGAGGTCTGACACACACAAGAAACACAATTCACAGACCTTAGCAGTCGTCTCTAACCTGGCCTTATCCTTTCAATCAGTCTTAAGCAAAATCTGAAGACACAAGCAGGAAAACGAGCACATAAAACTGCAGCCTGGGGTTTGGTAATGACACGACCAGGATCTGTTGGAAAGACACAAAGTTAAACCTCACAAAAACAGAGAGACAAATTACTTAATTTCCATACAAGTTCTTCTCTTCCAGAGTGGATGGACACTTCAAAAGAGAAAAAGATACAGCAAGAATTGTTTTTCTCTCTTACAAATCAAGCTGTTTGAGGCATTTACATAAACAGGATGTAAATGCCAAGCACAGAAGTGCCATAAAGTTCTACTTCAGCCTCTGAGAGCATAAAATCTCAAGAGACTGCTGGCACTGAGCTGATGTACGCCGAGAAAATAAACGCCGCATTCCTTTCAGATGCTGGGGGCTGCAGGGCAGCACAGCTTAGGGCATCCCAGCACCCTTGGGGTAAGGCTCACCTCTGACTTCTGTGAGTGTGCAAGTTAAGTGTCCAGCCCTGCAGCCCCAAATGCTGATACGGGGCTCTGAGTGCCCAATGCTTCCCCCACAAAGCTCTCTCACCAGCTCTGTAACTTTCAAACTCCAGCCTATTGCACTGATAGCGAAGCAGTACAAGTAAATCAAGATCAACCAGCAAAAAATGCTTAAAAGACATGAAATAAAATTAGTGATTTCCTCCCCTGGTGCCTATTGCGTATTTATTGTTTGCAGCCAGGTTTACAAACTACCAAGCTATTACTTAGTAGCTTTTCTTTCTTCCTTCTTGCTGTACCTTGGGGCCACAGCTCTGTGGCTAACACCTGCCATTCTTACACTGGCACATTCAGCTTTCCAGCAGCACGCTTCTTAAGAGCTGTGCAAAAGGGATTCAAAACGAGCTTGGACGAACTTTCTGCTTTCTTATCCAATGCAGGAGGACCAAAAGCAGCTTTCCCCAACACCCAGTATCTAGAATAAGGCTTAGGGTTACACAACATCCTCCCATTCAGCCAGTGTGCTTTCACAGACAGCTGCACATTGACTCGTGCCTTCATGCACGCTGTTCAAATTCTGTCAAATGAACACCATACAAAAAGGGGCAGAACCTCTTACCTGCTCAATGCTGCTCTGCTCGCAGATCCTGGAGGTTGCTTCACTTGGTTTCTGCACGTTCTGCCTCAGCACAGCTTGGTCCCAAACAGATCAGCTTGCAGGGAATTTAACACTTAGTAGTGCAAAACAATACATTTTATTTGTTCACAGTTAAACACAAGCAACTGCCTTGACATTTTAGAACATTCTAATAAGGACAGCAAAACCTCCTTTTGGTTTAAGTTCTCTTTAGCTTAGGATTGTACCATTTCCTCATGTTTCATATTTATGGCATTTAATGTGGATTGTTTAACATGCTTACAAAGAGCGAGGCAGGGAACAGATTAACTTGACAAAGACAGCAATTTTAGATTTAACTAAAAGCAGTCAGTTAGGAAAAAAAAAATATATCTGTTTCCACTTTACTGATGGGACCCCTTCAAACAAACTGCAAGTTAACTACATACAGCAGATCCATGATTTTTAGACTTTTACAAAAAAAAAAAATAAACTGCAAAATTTGTTCCTCCGTAATCGTTGTGGTCCATAAACAAACCGAAAGTGGTTTCTATCACTATCCTGGTGCTAAAGTCCTTTTTAAAAGAAGAAAAAAGCCACCTCAATGAGCTTGCATTACCACCAGGGCACGTTTGTCACCGACAACAAAAGCTGCCTCTCCTCTGGACGATGGAGGTCACCACACCAGCAGGGTGCTGCTCTGGGGCTCAGCACAGCAGGGTGCTCCAAGGAAGCCATGCAACACCTCCAGCTCCACCAGCCGAGCTGCCTGCAGGGCAATGTGCAAACTGCTCCACTCCCCATGCTGGGACCAGGTGGGATGAGAGGCAGGAAACCTCCAAACCTTACCAAAACATACGCTACCACGTTTGCTACCACTAAGTCTTAGAAAGCCTATAGACATGTCGACAAAACCAGTCTGTCACTTACAACCAACTCTCTATTTTCTATTCCATGCAGATTCAAGCTTTGACAAAACCACTTAAGTTCACCTTACTTTCAGAGTTAGGACTGACCAACCAAAAGGACACAGAGTAACGCAGACAGGCAGAAATGTATTTCAACCCGAGGTGTTACGGACAAAGCAGCAGGAAAAGCAGCGCCTGGCCCAAGTTATCAGACCGCCAGCTCCTCCAGCAGATTCCTCCTCAGGTTAGGATGGGAACTGATTTAATGTGGCCTTGATTTAATACTTGAGACGATTCTCGACCAGCAGCTGCCACCCACAGAAGGTCTGAGAAGAGGCCACGTGCCGTGCAGGTACCTGTGAAGCCCAGTATGGCCACGTACGCTTGGACTCAGACACACCTGCGGCTTGAAACAAGCACACTGCCTTCCGAACCACAGGCTCTGCTCTGTCACAAAGGAGACTGAGTCAGACCACTGACAAGCCCTGACCCTGCAATCCTCTTTCACTGAAGGCTTAAACATGATTAACACAGAAAAGCTTTCACCATCAGATTCTCAGTTTGATCGAGCAAGCTGCTTCTTCAGCCTCATCTTCTAAGGAAATGGGGATGAAGGGGATACATCTAGTGCCAAACTGACATTGCTGAGCTGAAAAGCGTGCTGCAGGTGGTACAGAGCAGCACTCCAAGGGAACTGTTCTCTGCAAGTCAAGCCCCAAAACAAACTCCCAGGTAGAAGCCAATTTCTTGACGTCAGAACACAGTGGTCTTGCTCAGATCAGGAACAAAAACCGTGAAGGAGTCCAGGCAGGATAAATACTTCCCTGATTAGAGAAAGAAATGCTCTTTGTGAGTAGAGAAAGAAATGCTCTTTGTGAGCTGCAAATCTTCATTCTAAATACATGTTCTGCATGCTCTCCTCATGTGACTAAGGCTTCCTTCTCCCTCTTCTCCCACCTAATTGCTTTCCCCTATGAACCAGTCTGAGGTCAGTACCAGTCTGTCAAACAAACACAATTCCAATGCAATCAGAAGCTAGTGTTTTAACAAGTCTTCACATATCGTCTCTGCATTACAAGCTCCAGTTCCTTGTTAAGCATCTGTTCAAACGAAACTTTCCAAGAAATGTTAAGGACAATATAAA